TACTCACCGGCGGCCCCGGGAAGCCGGGCTGGCCCTGGAAACCCTGTGGAGAGATGAGAGCTGAGCCGGACCCCGATGGCCACATCCTGCCCGACGGGGGTCCTGGGGATCCCCGTCCCCACGGACCCCTCGCGGATGCTTACCTGGTCCCCCTTCTCGCCGGCGCTGCCCGGGAGCCCACGCTCACCCCTTGGCCCCTGCGGAGAGAAGGGGCGAGGTGGGTGGGGAGCACCTTCCTGCACCCGCAGCCACCACGGCCGCCCCCGCTAACCCCCCCCCACAGCCCACCGGGAGGTGATCAGGGTGGGCACCTACCGCTGGTCCCGTGGGACCGGGGAGGCCGTCCAAGCCAGGGGGGCCCTGGGAAGGGGAGGAACAGGGTCAGATGGATGTGGCTGGAAGGACCTCAGCCCTGGTGCCCGCGATGAGGGGGGGCACCTGGGAGAGCCCCAGCCCCTCTGCCCCCGGCAGCATGGCCCTGAGGGACTCACCAATTCCCCCTTCTCCCCGGGGGGGCCCACGTAGCCTCGCTCGCCTTTGATGCCCTGGGGAAGGAAGGAGGTGAAGGCCCCGTGCAGGACAGGGGACGAGCTGGGACATGGGGCACGGACAGGACATGGGGCATGGAGGAGAGGTGGGGGGACAGGTGGGGCACAGATGGGGCATGGGGATGGATGGATGGGGAAGGATGGGGCACAGACAGGGCATGCACAGGGCACAGATGGATGGGGCATGGGTGGAGTGAACAGATGGGCAATGGATATGGCACCGGGAACATGTGGGACAGCGGATGGATGGGATAGGGATGAACCCTGCCAGGGACATGGTGCTCGGTGCCTGCTGGGGTCCCCCGACTGCCTGCCCGTCCCTGGCAGCAAGGGGGGCCTCAGTGAGCACCAGGGAGAGATGTGGGGACACACGAGGTGGCTGGGGGCTGGCAGACGCTGCCTGGCTCCCCACGGTACTCACGGGAAGGCCGGGGGGGCCTGTCGCACCGGGGTAGCCGGGCTGCCCTGGAGGTCCCTGTGCAGGAGGAGGACGATGCTGAGCCACCTGCAATGCCCCAGCCAGGTGCCCAAAGCCCACGAGGCACTAGGGTGTCCCCCGTCCCCTCAACCCACACCACTCACCGGCTCCCCTTTGGCTCCGGCAAGCCCTGTGGGGCCACGTTCCCCCTGAAGACCCTTTGGAGGGAGAAGAGAGGAGCTGCAGGGGATCTGCTTCGGCCCCTGCCCAGGGCTGTGCCCACCTGGCAGCACGGCCGGGCAGAGCCCAGGGCCTGAGGACCCGGGCACGGCCCATGGGGTCTGTGATCTCCGCCAGCCTGCACCGGCCCCAGCCTGCCCGGCACCTCCAGGCACAGGGGAGGACCCGCTCGGCACCCGGCTGGGCTCCCTCCACCCATGGCGCCAGCCAGGTGCACCGGGCTCAACGCCCAAGCATGGCCAGGTACGCTCACACCCAGACACAGGTCACCGCTGCCTGTGCCCCCCACGCCATGGCCCGCAGGTAGGAGCCACGGGCAGCCCCGGTGCCACAGGGCCGTGGAAAGCTCAGCCCTGGGGGGTGCGGCGTGGGGTGCCCAGCTCCCAGCACCCCGGCCACTGCCCAGAACACGCTTCAGACCACAGCTCCAGCCTGGTGCCACCCGCTGCCTCCCCGTCCTCCCAGGGTGTGACAGGCACGGGTGACTCGGGTGACAGCCGGGAGCCCCTGGGCTCCACGTCACGGGACCGTTGGGGGCAGGTTAGTGGGGTGACGTGGTGCCGAGGCGGCGGAGGCTGGACAGGATACACTGGCACACCGCAGAGCAACGACCCACAGAGACCCACAGAGACCCACACAGACTGTGGTGTTACGGTGACATTAGTGGATGAGGGGACAGGAGCAGGACATGGCTGGCACGGGCAAGGGAGGGCAGGATCCTCCGAGAGCCACCGGCACAGCCCCACTGCCACCTCGTGCTAGGAGGGAGCACGGGTGGGAGCAGGAGCATGAAGATGAAGATGAGGATGAAGATGAAGATGGAGATGAAGATCAAGATGGAGATGGTGGTGGAGGCTGGCTGACCCCAGAGGAGCCAGGGACCAGGGGAGGAGGAGGATGCGCCCAGGCAGCACCGGCTGCACGGGGCGATCCTCCCGGTGCCCACAAGGGGAGTCCCCAGGGGCAGCCGGGGAAGGGGCAGCAGCTGGGTGCCATCTGGTGCACCCAGCGTGCCCCATGGATGCTGTGACGAGCCATGGGCACCAAGCCAGGGCAGCAGGTCCTTGGCACACCAAGCACAGCCGGGCAGCTGAGCCGAGCCAGCCCGGGGGCTGTGGCCATCCCCTGCACACCCGGGTCCTGCAGCGGTGAAGGGCCCCAACACAGGGCACCAGAGGCAGCTGCACCGGGGCCGGCGAGTCCCAGCGCCAGGTCCCTGAGCTTAGGAAGAGCATTCCTGAGCCTGCAGACCCCGGGTCCACTGAGACCCCCTGCATGGGGATGGAGGAGGTGAAAATGGGAGGATGGAGATGGGGTGGAAGGGGAGCGGGGCAGCTGGGCTGCAGCTGCTCCCACGGGGGACAGGGACGGGGGACACAGCCAAACCAAGCGGCAGCGACAGAGGGCACAGAGTAGAGCCGTGCTGGGTTCTTACGGGCAGTCCGGGTGCGCCAGGCGTTCCAGGAAAGCCTGGGGGGCCCTGAGGGGAGAAACAGGGAGGTCACAGCCTGGAAATGGTACCCAGGAGCCTGGGCTGAGCCCTCAGGGCACTGCAGAGCAGCCGGGCGCGGGCCGGCTCGGCCTCAGCCTCCCACCAAGCCGGGCTCCTGCTCCATCTCCAGGCTGCCAGCGCTTTCGCCTCCATCTCCAGACTCGCCGGGGGACAGCCATGCCGTGCCGCACCTCTGCCTCACCATGGCCCCGGCACTCTGCCC